ATATCCAGGCTGATATTTTTGTCCCCTAAGTGAAATCAGCCAATCTCTCCATACTTTCTTTTTCTTTGTACCAAAAAGGAATAATCAAATTCCAAACCCCTCCAACATTAAATAGAGAGCTTCCCACAGTGTTGTAACCATGAAAATATTTGTTTTGCAAGACCAAAAGTGAATGTTGGCTACTTCGATTTCAGTTTTCCCCTCTCTTTTCCACAATTTGGAAAATTTGGATCCTCTTGAGGAGAAAGGTGGGGCATAAATAAATAAATATGGGTGGTCCCTACAACTCTAGGGAAGAAGGGACAGAAAATTGCCTCATGGACCTGTCATGGTTGCCCACCCCCACAATGACAGTTCTGAAATCAGTGGATCAATGTTCTGACTGTATAGGTACAAGCCAAATTAGTATTTTTCTGTGATTTGAAATCCACACATCTTAAAATTTAAGACATTCTATACATTTTTGTTACTTTGAATATTTTCACTTTATTTTACATATGTCCTATCCAGCATTAAATTAATTAATTCATAATAAAATCCCTGAACAAACAAAAACATTAACTCCATATCTCATTTGTATAATTCCGTAATTCACATTTATTATTATTGTAAAACACTGACAAAACATATCACATCTTGCTTTTTTTTTACTTTATATTTACCTTCTGTATACTCAGGACACAAAGTTCCAGAATAGCTGCACTAGATACAGTTATAGTATTTCCATCATGAAAACACAAAAGGTGCAAATATCAGAAGACAAACTGAACAAGTGCAAATGAATGAAAGTGCAAAAAAGCTTCTGTTTCATGAAAATGCTTTTTTTCTGAAAACACCATTTTTGCCCTCTACAAAAGGCGGTCCTTAAAATAAAGGGCATTTTGGCAGGATTTATCACAGTAGGACTGTCACCTAAAGATCTGCCCCTGTTTTTTTTTTTTTTCACATTTAGGACAACGCAGCAATCCAAGGAACCACAAAAGAGGAAGAGGAAAAGATGACCATGTGCCAATAAAGGATGTTCCTTTCTTCCATTGCACTCAAGACCCCAAGAAAGCCTTAAAAGTGTAAACCTACTTTAAATTTTAGATCTGGACTCTTACATTTCAAAAGTGCCTAAAGTTAGTACAGATTAGAACCTGGATTTCAGGAATGGGAGGAGCTAATTTTGTCTGTTTGGTGTCTTACTTTGTTGTGAAATAGACTTCTTCAAGCCTACTTAGGAGCAGTTAATTAAGAAAGAAATGCCTCTGAACCTCTCAGCTATTGATGAATTTATCCATGCAGCATCATATCTCCTATTGCAGTGGTTCCCAACCTTGGGTCCCCAGAGGTTCTTGGACTACAACTCCCAGAAATCCTGGCCAGCTCAGCTAGTAGTGAAGACATTGGGAGTTTTAATCCAAGCATATATGGGGACCTAAATTTAGTAGCCAGTGTCCTACTGGTTCGCCACCCTCCAGAAAAATGAGTGATTGTTAGGACACCTGAGACAAAAACCTCATACAATGCTTCAGTTGCTTCAAAACTCTAACAGTATCAATACTGCCAGGGGAAAATAGACTACTGGATTGAAGTCCTGAGGGTGGCTTCCACAGCAGGCTCTCTGGTATTTTCCTCAATGCTAATTGTACTATCAAGGTGGAGGAACTGGCACATGCTAGTTATTACAAGAGGCAAACAAATACCAGCAATCTTTACCAGCAGCTGTTAGAGCAATGAGCCACATAGGATGATAATGATCAGTTCATCTTGTCCAGAGCTCTCCAGGCCCTTGGCAGAAGCACTGTCACTTGGAGACACCAAACATTTTCCAGACAATATCTGATGAGCCCCAAAGTTGCCTTCTCTTCCTCCCTTGCCATCTGCTACTGTTCAGTACCAATGCTCTATTCCCAATATTTACAGCAGATAAATGCAGTTTATGGGCCTCACACAGACCTCAAGACTGTTTTGGCCACCCAAAGCTCGCCAGATACCCTCCCTCAGCCTCTAGAAGGTGAGGCTCACCTATTAAATAGATTACAGGGGAGCCCTGCAGCATTTTAACATCCAAAATCACGCATTTTCTAACACTAGCAGTAGACTTTTGGCCATTTGCCATTTCTTTCTTTTCATTTTTGGCAATCCACATAGTCTCTGGAGGATCCTGGAGACAATCTATTGGCCCCAGCCTTCCAAAGTTGCTGACCCCTGATTTACAGAAATACTTAATACAGTTGTGGAGGGGGAACTCTCTCTCACTCTCTCTCACTCTCTCTCTCTCTCTCTCACACACACACACACACACACACACACACATTCTTTGGGTTTAAATTTATTTTCTTTCCACAAAAGTTAATGTTCACATCATATTTTAGAAGTAAATAACTCCAACCATCTAATCAACTAAATGTGCAATTTCCTCCATCTGGAATGATTAAAACATTCTATGTCACAAAAGGGCAAGAGATTTCAGATTGGAATATTTATGATGGTGGACAAAAAGGAAAAAAAAACAGGAGTGCTGGATTTCCATTTGACTTAGAAGTGTGCATATTTCACCATCAAAAGCCACTCTTTTACTCTCTGTGCCAAACACACATATGCCAAAGAACCCAGATGCACAATATTAGATTTTACATTTCACCCTCACTTCCATTAAAGGTTATTTTGTTTTGGAAGAAGTCAGGGCTGAGGAGAGCAATGCCTGATCTAGGTTCTATTCCTGTTGCAAATTCATTTAAGCTCACTCAGTATCTTGGACATTCTTCCGAAAAATAATGATAGATATAGACAAATAAGTAAGAAGAGAGAAAGAATGTAGTAGGGAATCCATGGGATTAATTGACTGAATCCAAAATACTACATGAATACTGTTTTTCATTGAGGATTTCAAGTGGCTGCCTGCTGTTCAGTGTATAAAAGTCTTCAGAAAGTGACTTGTCACCTGAGTCTCAGTCCGAAAATATTAACAACAGATGCAAAGGTGCAGACCTGACTCTTTATCTGTGACACAAAAATAGCACAAAGGAAGCAATTTTCTAAATGACTGAGATTTCATCAGACAATAATAGAGATACCCCCACCTGTATTCATCACTGCTGCACCAAAAACATCTCTGCTTATGAACATGCATTCATAATTGGATGATTAAGATGTATGTTAATAAGAAAGGGATATTTCTTTCCATCTTCATAGGATTTTTCCCCAAATACATGACTGGTACTCATATAAGCAGGACCTTATATTATCTGGACTTGTTCAGATCATGTTCCAAACTAAGGCAGTTTTCTTATTAAAGCCTGCATTTTTTCATCTTATCATAACTGAAGAAATATCTCACTATCTTAACCAGTCATTTTCTTCATTTTTTTCCTGGTTGGTGAAAAAGATTTCTTTAGACATATGGATAGTTTCGCAGCACACATGAATTGTATCTTCTCGGACCATTTAATCAAAAGTGCAAAACGATGTTCTTCTCAGTATTATGCCTCTTGGCAAGCAAACATATGCTGATGTTCAAAAGGAAGACATTATGAAACCAGCAGAAAGATTGCTTGAAGAACAAAAGCTAACTTGACACACATAGAGAGAAACCAAGATAAAAATTTCTTCGGAATAGCAGGCAGCCATCAGTTAAAAGAGAAAGTCAAATACAACCAAGCATTTCATAATACTGGAGTCAAAATGCTGCATTTCCATAGAGCTTTCCATGAGCTTAACCCAAATATTTAAAAAATGTAGACTTCACAGACCATATTACTATGAGACATGTTGCTGGTGTACAGGTATGGGTGAAAAACTTTAGTTCTGTTGTTACAGACTGAAGGAGGACAAAGAAAAATTCTAACAGCCTCACGGAGCTCCATACACTGGAAGTGATATGCAATGCACTAGTAAACTGAGGGCTGCATTTCAACTTAAGAAACCCATGTCCAAATCCCTGCTTGGCCATAGAAGCCTTGGGCTGATTATTAGACTCTGTGGAATTGGCATATGACATAGGACCGTTATCAATTGAGATATGCTTGTGTAAGGACTAAAGGAGTACTGAGTTAGAAAACATCCAGAAAGACAACTAGCACTACTGAAATTAGAAGTGATTGCTTGACTTAATAGGGCCATTCCAAAATATTTTGGAACCTGAGATGGAAAATATTTATGGCTCCTACCCCTCCTTTCCCAAAATGAAAACATAACAGTAAAAAAAATTAACAGGGTGTGACCTGTCTTAAAAGTATGCAGAAATTGCTGTCTGGAGCCACCTCTTCCCTTCTGTCTAATAGGAGGACTGGCATTGGAACTTAAGCCTCTTCTTAGTCTGCATAGCTAAAAGCAGCTGAAGTGGCTCAACAGAACATCTGGCACCAGTGCTTTGCTAATCCTCATCAAAAGAACAAAAGGAAAAAGTATGTGTAGGAAAACAGCAGAGTTCTTGATGACTTGGAAAGCATAGGTCACATCACACATTGTATTCATGCGGTTAAAAAGAAAATAAGACATTGCCACCTGTGTTTCTTTTTATAAAAAGGAGAGTTCCTAGGTTATGTTTTCAAGAGACACTGTCAAGTAGCTGGATGTAAACATTTGGCACACACTGAATAAATACAATTTGATGGGCCAGAAATGATGAATTTAAAAAAGTGGATAATTGCACCATTGCACATAATCATCTTTTACATGGTACAGCACCTGATAGTCCAACAGGATGGGACAAAGTGAAATAGCCCTAACTTTAGTTATTCCTGCCACAGATGGGAGGAAGGAGGAATGATGTATTTCGGACAAGATACCAGCCATGTTCACTTGTTTTGGTGCACTTTGGGGGAAAGTGCTCCAAGCTAACCTGACAATCGGCATTTGTAGAAGTTAAAGCAAGGAACAATATTACCTAAACTGCTCAGTGAATCTTAACCTCCATGCCTAACATGGTAATATTATGATTCTGTAAATTGTGAGCACCAAATCATCATTTGTTTGTTTCATAGCAGCAGTGAATCCGGAACTGTTAGAGTGTGTTATATCTTCTGTGTACTTAGTCCAGTAGTCTGCCTTGGAAGGATTAAGTCCCTGGATAGATATTTATTCATCATCCCCGTGAAGTTCAAGGTCTAATCCCTGATATTTGGGAAACGACTTTCATAATGCAATGCCACAGTTCAGAATTGCTTCCAAATATCTCATACTGCTTGAAGTTGGGTAAAATGAATATACTGGCAATTGACTTACAGTTGTTTTCCTTCTCTGTTTCATGAAAATTCAGACATAATGTAAGATGCCTGAACCCAGGCTGTCAGATCTGAAGAATTAAAACCAAGGCAGCTTAAATCTAGCAGCAAACCTAGTCTCAGATCTATGCTGTGTGCCTTTAAAACCACCAAGAGAAGACCTTGACAGGGTTTGTGGGATCAGGCAGGTCAATGCTGGAGCTCCACTGGCAGACATATTCAGGCAGTATTCAGAAAGGCTGGTACAAAGAGAGAGGAAGACAGACAGGGGATGGATCTGGTATGTAAACAAAGACAGAGACTCAAAGAGGGAGCAAGTTGGCAGGATTTTACAGCTGCGAAAGTCAGAAGATCTCCACTCTGCTGAGACAGATAAACAGGAGAGTTCGGCATCTTCTAAGGAGAGGAAAGTCATATACTCCTCAGGGTGGCTCACTTTAAGGTGTCATCTGCATTTTTGAACATGAGAATGGCATTGTAGATTTTAAGTGCTGGGCCAAGTTTGACGCTCATGATCTTCACAATGTCAGCCTGAGTCAGCAGGAGGAATGCTTCACCATCAATCATCTGTGGAGAAAGAGAGATGTTGAAGTTTCTTTCTCATGCATATTGGTAGGTCTTTACTTTAAGCTGTCTTTGCTCAGTGCTTACTGGGAGGGTTATGGGAAGTGAAATGATTAGTACCAGAAGGTGACATTCTATTTTGGTCCCTCTAGCCACAAATAACAGCTCTTTGAGCACTACCTGTGCAATAATCACAACTGGCTTCCAGAATGTGGGAAGAGAATATACCTGCATTTTCAGGGTGGAAGCTTACCATTCAATGGAATTTACCATGGTATGGTTGTCCAGCTAAGAGAAGATGTACCCCAGCAGGCAATAAACAACTTCTGAGCACTCAAATTGAATGAAAATCAAGCTCAGTTGCCACATAACTATTTCCCTGGACATTTCTTTCTCTCTTTAAAAAAAATGCTTTCTCTTTAAGTTTGTTGAACTTCCTGCCATTATATTTCATGGTTCCAAACTCTGACTTGTACCTGCTGTCACCAGTACTTTAAAATGTCAGCAGTAGACATCCAGGTTTTGGTGCTGGCTGAGTGCATTTGTACAAAGTTGTGGCACCAGCTGCACCAATTCCTACAGATGTCTCGTCTGGCCATAGTGACACAGGCCTTACTCTAACATGGTCTATATGTAGGCTGCCTTCAATAGTGTTCAGAAACTTCATCTTGTTCAATGGGTTGCTGCCAGATTGCTGGTTGGGACCAGTGCGAAGGTAAACACCACCCTTATCTTACAACAGTGTCTTTGGTAGCAGTCTGTTTCTGGGCACAGGTCAAAGTGAGGGAGATCTTCAAATGACGCCCCTCTGTTAGTCTCACCACTTTTACAAGTATGTTTGGTGAGGATGCCTGAGAGGATCTTCTTGGTGGCTCTCCAAGCTGCAAAAGCTTAGTCTGCCCCCCTCTTCTTTTTATCTTTCTGCTTTCAGGCAAATATCATTTTATTCTGGGAGCCTTTCAGCAACTAATTGTTGAGGAAAGAACTTTTCATAGATTCATGCTGTGCCTTTTTGATGCATTTTAAACTTATTCTTCATTATCATTATCATTTCAATGATATGGTTTAACTGTGTTTCAACATGATAACCTTCTATAAGTTTATAAGTGAGATATAAAACATTTTAGTCCTTAAGACCAACTAAAAAAGTGAAGTACCACAAGAGTATCTTGTTGCTTTTGCTTTTATTTATAGCTGTCTTTATCTATTGCTTTTGTTGTGAACTACCTTGGGTACTGACTTTGAGAAGGCGGCAGATTCCGAATCAAATAAATAAATAAAAATTGCTTGGCACTGTATGTTTAGTTGTGAGATAAAGGACTAACACCTGGAACAATTCCAAATGTTAAATAATTTATTAAATAGGCACAATTTTGCAGAAGATACTTGGGTTACTAAAGGTTGCTGTCTTTCAATAAATACCTGACAACGGCCTCACACACTCCATTAGGCCTTTCCCGTCAACCAACCTACCGTAAAATCACTCCAACCAAAACCAAGTTTAATCTCAATAAAACTTCTCTTTATTCCAGCCTCTCATAACCCAAAATATATTTTCCTCAACTACTCCTTAACAAAGGATCAAATCACATGTTGATCTAGAGTTTATTGCCTCTACTTACAATGTTATCCCTTCAGACATGCAAATCTTTCAGTGCCATATGCCTGAGTATCTGATATGCAGACAATATGAAACATGCAGGCAAGTTATGCTGTCACCCAAATATCAATGACAAAATGAAAAAAAAAAAGCTCAGTTTGTGAATGTAGGGCAAGTTTGTGTTAGAACAGACTGTCAGTCTTTTTCCCTTAAGGATGCACTGCTTGTAGAGAGAAAATCAAGTGTCTCATTTAGGGAGGTCCTGAGTTTTCTGTCAAATCCTCCCAACTGTATCACCATGGAAAATCTGTCTTAATTTTTATTGCCACTCTTGAGTGGGGTATGGTAAAGAAGAAAGGATGAGGTATCAGCAAGACTACAGAGGAAAACCTGCACTACATAGTTTTGTCAGCACAACTTTCCTGAAATTGGTGCCCTCCATAACATTTGCACTACACTCCTATCATCTAAAGGCTACCAGATAGGAATTATGAGATCCGTAGCCCAAAAGTAATGAGCAGGCGCAGTGGGGGTGGGGGAGCTACGTTCATACATGGTTCCTAGCAAGTCTGCTTCCCATTATAAATACCACCATAATCTCTCTTTCATAAGAATGTGACTCATATCCCTACCTCATCTTTGAAGAGCTTTGCTTGGTCCTCACAGCCTGTCAGTGTCTGTACAAAGCTAAATACCTTGAGGGAGAAAAACAGAATGAATATTTTTTCTTTTAAAAAGATGTGGAGAAGGACTACAAACATACACAAATACACTCCATTGCTCAGCAAACATATTTCCAACCCTGTTTTCCAGAATAACAAAAATAAAATGTTTCATTAAAAGCATTTTAAAAATACAATTTATCTCAATGGGCCTCTTTATAATATTTGTTTTACTGTAAATTCTGTTGCTGTTTTAGACTGAAGTTTGGATTAGCTGGTTCAGGTTTTTTTTTTAATTACCAGAGGCAGAGTGTAAATTCTTTTGTGCTACATTAATTTTGGGTAGGTAATTTTGTTTGCTTTCTGTGAAAAAGTTGGGAGAAATCTATCCTCATCATTATCACCACAACCCCCATTTTGTTAAAATCAATGAGCAGAAAGGAAGAATATTTAATTTCTTTTGTACCTCCTAATTCTTCCCTGCAAAGTCTAACCCTCTTGGGCAATCTTTTTTTTTTCCCAGCTATGCTTAGTTGGATTTTGGAACCTGCCAGGTAGGAAGAAGCCATCCAAAAGGCAGGGAAAGTGAAGCAATTTGAATGGCAGAAATTGAAAGAGGGGAGAAAGACAAGCTACTCCTTCACATAGTTTCTCCATAATATGTAGTTGTGTGCTCAGAATGGTAAAAAGGTGTCTAGCATTCTTTTAAAATGTTGACAGAATTGTTGTGAAAGTTCAAGTAAGATAACACCTAAAGATACTTGCAGGACAAACATTATGTAATACTACAAAATTCTACACACTGGGCACCCTGTGGAGCACAGGGGAATTGGGGAATTACTGACAGGAATGAGACCTGGTAACAGTATATGATAAATAAATAGGTCTAAAACAAATAAAGTTAGTTTATAAGTATCTTGAAGACCTATATGCTAGGTCTTCAATATCCTTCTTTCTGTCTGTGAGCAGCAGCAATTATATAAACTGGGAATCCCTGAGTTCCTTGTGTGGGCAAATGAAACGATGTGCAAGTGACTTGGAACATACTCATGTGTCTGCAGCCATGTAGGAATGCACAAGCAGAGTAACAGTAGTGAATTCATAAACATGGCTCTGCCTCCAGAGAGCCAGAGCTAATTTCCTGTGCTTACACCTATTGTATATCCACACACTCTTACCTCATCGGTGGTCCATTTAGCCACTGTTGATGCTGTGATCCCAGCCACACCAGGCAGAAGCTTACAGTGCTGTTCCCAGCAGAGGGACAGGGAACGATCTGGGTGTGCTGACAAGGCCGACATGAAGAGAGACTGGTGCATGCTGTCTGAAGAAATGGCTGTCAATGGCATTCAAAACAGTGATGCTTAAAGCAATGAAATGAAAAAGAAAAAGGCTTTCCCTCTGCTTTCCCAGGGCTTGTGTCAATGATGTTTAGATGTTGTTTGAAGCTAGGAAGACATTATGAACCAAATTTGACATGTTGACAGCAGGCCCATATCTTAAATCAGGATTTCTGCTAAAGCCATGTATGTATGATGCATAAGAGTAAAGACTGGGTAAGGAACTGAATTCTGATTCTACCCATGCTTTAAATCAGTGGTTCTTAACGTGGGCGATAATGCCCCCCAGGGGGCGATTTAATTTTTCAGGGGGGCGGTAGAACGAAAAGGGGCGGCGTGGGGGCGCTGGAGCAGAAGAGGGCGGTAGGGGGGCGCTGGAGCAAGCCAAACCTGTGAAGATGGCTGCAGCCTTTTTACA